TAGGAGTCATTTCAAAGACGACTATGGCAAAACGATAGCTGAAGTTGGAGACCATTGCTGACGAATTTAAGAAACAGACAAATGGACTTCACATAGTTCCTATCAATTAAGGGCTCCAATGACGTATTCGTTGGGAACAGGCTCAACAAAAGATAAATGTTGGAGTTGCAGTCCTTCGAGACTTTTTTTTGGGGCAAACAACTAGTCATTTGCACAGTTCATCCAGAGAAAACAGAGCGGTTCGACAGATTGTTCAACCGGTCACAGACGAAGGCAGAAGAATATTCAACATATCAGAAGCTGTCAGAATATTTTTGTCTCTTAAAAGATAAAACACTTTTGTCTCCAATAAGGATTATTTCTAATAACAAACACATTTTTTTGATCAATGCCTCGAACATTGCATGCATAATGCATTCCTGCATATTTCGCATTAATTTCTCCTTTTTATTATGTTCACATGTCTCATAAAAAATGAGAACATTTCAATCGTATGACATATAAGGAGCTTTACCAATAGTTGTTTGACGCACATGTGGTGTCACCATATCCAGAGAAATCCATGAAGCCCCTGTACCCCAGGTAGTAAGATGAGAACGCTCATTGCAAATACCATAGCGGTGTCCCAGGGCGCACTATCGAGAACTACTCCACATTCAAGAGAATCACACAGAAAATACATAACAAGAATTAGATCGACTTCAATAACTCAAGGGCATCCAAGTGAGGCATATCATTTCATCATTTGAGGCATTTTGTTTGAGTTTGTTTTTTTCCATTTTTTCTCAAGTTTTTGTAAGAACATTTGAATAAATTTATGTTACTTTAATGATGACGAGCAATTAATCACATTTGCAAACTTGCAATTCTTTGAATATCAACTGAATTAAGAAGCTCTTTAAATGGTTCAAAGTTATGAATCCCTGACAAAGTAACATGATTTAAAACGAGTACTTTTTACCTTACCCAGAATATACACTCAAACACCGTACCCTGCTCTTGAAATTACCCAATGTAACCTTTTCCTTTCATAAGTTGCGGACAACATGGGGCATCCTTTTGCATATGACATTACTATGTTTTTTTTTATTTAAGACGTTCAGTGATAATAATGATCTTTACAGATGTAATAGTCAAGTAAGCAAATCTAGTTTAGGTCAGTTGTTTGGAAATTGAACACTAAAGATGAGATTTCTTGACTTTCAAAAACACCTAGACTATAAGAGGTTCTTCTTGACAATCTTAAGAAATTAAATCCGTAAAGCTAAGCTATTCCACTAAGGCAATTGGTTATAGAGGAAACTCAAAAGCCCTGGCTTTATGAATAGATTGCATTCAAACCATGACATTGCTCGGACACTTGGAAACTCAGTGTTTGCTCCACTGCTATTGTCAGGCTGAAGACTTTGTGATGAGATGAACCCTTCAATTAACCTGATAAAAATGATTATAATATTAAGCTTTCCCTCTAATGCAATTGGTTAAACACCCTGGCTTTATGGATTTGGCTAGCCAGGTAATGGTAAATTAAATCAAATTTATCTAAACAAGAAATTTTCGGTAATAATGGACTAAGGGAGTTAAGGAACACCTGTTATAGTCAAATATACACGAGCACTCAAGAATTTCATTTTTAGACCGATATTTCTACACTACCTTTGTTAGAGAAGCTTACAAAACTTGAACAAATGGATGATTTCAGAGGACTGAAATAAAAGGTCTAGTAATTGATCATGCTAGTTGCGTCATTTTGTTCGTACCGAATTAAAATGCCAAACCAAAAAACATGTTGCGATATTTCGAAAAATGACATTTCGGGTGACCGAAACCTTAGAAAGAAGGCCAACCTAAAGCCAACTCATCCATTTGAACATTTGGCAAAGAGCTGCAACTCTTGATTCCTTTGATATTCTTTGAACTCACGTTTATAATTTGATTCAATTGCGAACAATATTTTACAGAATTTTTATCTTTTTCCCTCCAAAAGCGAGAAAAAGGAGGAAAACATTTTCAAACAGGACAGTTACAAATATGAAAGGTCGGTAAAGCCAAAGCTCGAGAAGCAAATGGGGCACGATCGATTCCATGGATCAGATTGGCAGACAAAACACATGACTCCTATCCAAGAGATAAAACATAATTCATTCATGTTGCATGCATCTTATGCAACTTAGGAGCATCACATTTATCATTTTTAGCACACATAATTTTTTTTTATAGTTTTTAGAGTCAATTTCAACTTCGCAGCGAAAGAGATTGGACTCGAAACGACACAATTTGCTCGAGAGTAGATTTTAACTTCACAACGGAGGATATCTGACTCGAAGCCAAACTTCACAATAAAGGGGTCATCCACGGTTTCATCATCACGACGAAGGGAATCGTGTCCACCCGCTACATACAATATTTGGATTTCAACTTCACGGCGAAGGATATTCAAGTCAAGGTTCAACTTCACGACGAAGGGGCCATCCGCGATTTCAACTCCATGACGGAGGATATCGTACCCACACATCCACGATTTCAACTCCACGACGGAGGATATCGTGCCATTCGGGGCTCAACTTCACAACGAAGGGGCTTCCCAATTTCAGATCCAATTTCAACTTTACAACGAATGATATTGGACTCAAGACAGCACAAGCTCAACTTCACAGCGAAGGGCGGCTGACTATCAACAAACAATTTCCTAATTTCAGAGCCAATTTCAACTTCACAACGAAGGATATTGGACTCAAGACAACACAAGCTCAACTTCACAGCGAAGGGGCGGCTGACTATCAACAAACAATTTCCCAATTTCAGAGTCAATTTCAACTTCACAACGAAGGATATTGGACTCAAGACAGCACAAGCTCAACTTTACAGCGAAGAGGCGGATGACTCTCAACAAACAATGTCTCAATTTCAGAGCCAATTTCAACTTCACAGCGAAGGATATTGGACTTAAGACATCACAAGCACAACTTGACAGCGAAGGGGCAGCTGACTTTCAACAAACAATTTTTCCAGTTCCAGAGACAATTTCAACTTCACGGCGGAGGATATTAGACTCGGAGTAATACAATTTACTTGGATTTCAACTTCACGACGAAGGATATCCAATTACCAGGCTCAACTTCACGACGGAGGGGCCATCTACGGTTTCAACTTCAGGACGAAGGGAATCGTGCACACAAGCAGCATCTATCTCCATATTTGGATTTCAACTTCACGACGAAGGATATCCAACTCAAAGAATGAGTGTCTGTCAATAAATTTTCCAGTTTCAGATCCAATTTCAACTTCACGGCAAAGGATATTGGACTCGAAACAATACAACTTTAATTGGATTTCAACTTCACGACGAAGGATATCCAATTCAAGGCTCAACTTCACAACGAAGGGGCCATCCACGGTTTAAACTTCACAACGAAGGGAATCGTACCAACCAATAACACTCATCTTTAGGAACAAGCAGATTATCAATCTCTTTTTAGATCGTTTCTCTCGAAACAAGGGGGCGTCTCGCTTGAGACTAATGTACTCAAAACAAAATTATGTCTCTCTTGAGACAGTTTCCCTTAAAACAATATCTTTGAACAAATTTCGTCTCCCTTGAGACAATTTCTTTTAGAACTAAGTTTTGTCTCTCTTGAGATAGTTTCTCTTGGAAAAAAAACCTTTGAAAATGTTTCCCTTGAAATGCCAAAAACCCTTGAGTTCGATTACACTTAGCTTCGAGGGCACATCATTTGCAACATAGCTCAAGGCAAGAAGGGCTATTTTCCAAAAAAAGACATTCGAGTTCGACTACGCTCAACTCCGAGGCACATCATTTGCAGCATAGCCTAAGTCGAGAAGGGCTATCTGCCAACAAAAGATCTCACGAGTTCGATTTCATTTAGCTCGATAACAACGATGAACTACTTTCTGGAAGAATTTTCAAGCTGAAATCTTTAAGCCGAGAAGAAGACAAAGGCCCAATTCCAGGAAGCTCAATCACATTTGAGAAGACCGAACAAAAACTGGTTGTCTTTTCGTCTTTGCCCTATTCTTGTTAACATAAGAATGTGCAATGAGGGGCAGTTGTAGACACTCATTTTTTACCAGGTTTTATATTTTTATTTATTATTATTATTATTATTATATATATTTTTTTATTTTTTTGTAGTTCCAACAAGAACTCACCATCATCACCTCTAACAACCCACTACCCCAACTACCATTTTCTCACACACATCTCACAGCTTCACTTTCTCTCTCTATTTTCTTCTTCAAAGATGGGTCCCCAGAATGAGAAGATATCTCCATTTTTTCAGTATAACACGACTCTCACAACTACTTCCACTACCACTACAATCCCTTTTAAAATGATGTACATGGTTGATGCGAGAGGGGGCACGAATCATTCATCGGGGGCCTCTGGTTTTTAAGCTTTTGTTTCCTTTGTTTAACATCTGGAACACGAAGCCAAGGCCAAGCTTATTCCTTTTGAATCCTCCAACAAACGAAGCACCAAAAACATAAAGAAGAGAGAACGAGCTCTCAGATTTCCAAATCTGCTGCTAGAGCTATCAGATCCCTCTTTTCAGCTTCGAAGAAAGCTCACTTTTGCTCCGCATAAGGGCAGGCGATAGCGAAGGTTACGGTAGCAGCAGTTTCAGTCAGTAAGTGGCAGCTTACATGGTTCAAGAGCCGTAGGCTCAGGCTGCACAGACTGAGCGCACCTTCATCGCCATCAAGCATGATGGAGTACAAAGAGGACTGACTGCAGAAATCATATCTCATTTTGAGCGCAAAGGATTCAAGCTCGTTGCTATCAAGATAATGGTTCCTTCAAAGGAATTTGCCCAGAAACACTACCATGACTTAAAATATAGACCCTTCCTTCAATTGGGTGTTAAGGCTCATGGCTGCAACGGCTTAACCTACACCCTCAATTACGCCAATGAGAAAGGAAAGTTGGATGAATTGCTTGAAGAAGAGGGCGTGAAAATATTGATTTGTCATCTCATCGGGTTCCACTCTCGAGGATGCAATGCTTTTTGTTGATATCAACTGGTTCTTTATCACACTTTTTCCTTGACCATTTGTTTGAGATGAAGTCTAAACACCACTTTGTTTCATGTCATGTGATTTTTTTTAATTCTATGTTAAGTGGTAACAAAGCAGTTTGCAAATGTCGAGGAAATTTAATGTTTGAGGATGGATGATTTTGTTTTATTTTGTGACCAAAGTGATGAACTTTATTATTCCAAATGCTATATTGATGACTTAATTATGATTCAAAGGCTCAATAGATATGAAGGTATAATAGTTATCTTGGTATGGCACAATGGTGTACTGGTGGTAAGAAAATGTATGTGTGGATTCCATGAGCTAACATGTCCGATATATCATTAAGATCTCTTAAGAAATTAAAAGTCTGTTTGTTGCACATTTTTCTCTTAATCCATTTTTTCTCTTTAATTTATTTAGTATTTTTTAATCTAACATTTTTTACTTTCTTTTTTAGGGATATTTTTAACTAATCAAAGGTAAATAATTTGAATCGAGTATTTTAATTTAAATTTAAATTTTAAATTTTTTGTAATTAAGATAACCGTCAAATTAATTGGTACTGAAAGGGCGGTACAAGGGTGCTAATCCTTCCTTGACCGTAACTGACTCCCGAGCCCGACATATTTCTGGTGAAACGTAGATCAGGTAAGATGGTGTCCGACCCACCTAAATTCGTTTTAAAATGGTCGGTGGCGACTCTACCCAATTCGTTTAATTCAAGTCGAAGCCCAATTCCGGGCCCAACCGAAAGACGGTCGCGATAGCTTGGCGACTCTGTTGGGGACAGATAAGTGAGTCAGGCCAGAGTTAATTTTCGGTTGTCTTTTAATACGAAAATAGTAAATTTAATTTTAATTTATTTATTCGATTTTAATTATTTACCTTTGATTATTTTTCAAATAAATAGTTGTACTGACATTTTTTCAATGATTTCAGATTTTTGAAAAGTTTCTATCTCTGGCTGTATACCCGAGCTTCAAACCCTATTTAAATAGGGGTGAAAGCGACGCCTTCGTGTGAATTTATTCACCATGCGGGCCTAGCAAGTAACCTTCGGGATTCATATACCTCATGTCTTCGTGTGAATTTATTCACCGTGCGGGCATAAGGGAATGTTTCCTCTCGAGTTTAACTTAGTCCACACAAGCTTGTAATGGGCTTAGGACTAAGGGTCTGGCAAGCCCAAGGGGGCACCATCAAGGAGAACTTAAGTACCTTTTTTAGAACCTAAACTGGGAGAGTACAGGGAATTAGAGCCCACCCCAAAACCTTATTCCAAACCCTAGGCTGCTTTGTTTCCTGCTTTATTTTCTGTTTAAAGCATGCGAACTAGACAAATATGCGGTTAGGATTTGCTTGAAATTAGCATGCGGGATAGAGATCATGTCCAGGTAGGAATAATAAGTATGTGGGGTAGATATCATGTGGGGTAGGATTTTTCATATTTTATTATTATTATTTTGATTTACCTCACTAACTATTTTTTTATTTTGGTTCTCTTTTATTTTGTTTTCATCGTTTGCATCATTTAAAACGAGGTGTTGATCCACCAAAAAGTGTTTGTTGAACATGAATAATCTATATTAATGGACAAAAGGGTTGTAATACAATAGACGAAAATACATAGGACAGTCTACAAGTCGACTTTGTGTCACATTCAATCCAGAAGACGTGGTACCCACAATTGAAGAGTATATCGCTCTGCTGCATTATAAAAGAACTCAGAATGAACCAGGTCTACATCAAGCACAATGAAATCCTATCTTTGAAGAACTGACTGGCAGAGGTTGCAGTGGCAAGATGAAGGCCACTGATATTATGAGTCATTTCAAAGACGACAATGGCAAAACGATAGCTGAAGTTGGAGACCATTGCTGACGAATTTAAGAAACAGACAAATGGACTTCACATAGTTCCTATCAATTAAGGGCTCCAATGACGTATTCGTTGGGAACAGGCTCAACAAAAGATAAATGTCGGAGGTGCAGTCCTTCGAGATTTTTTTTGGGGCAAACAACTAGTCATTTGCACAGTTCATCCAGAGAAAACAGAGCGGTTCGACAGATTGTTCAATCGGTCACAGACGAAGGCAGAAGATTTTTCAACATATCAGAAGCTGTCAGAATATTTTTGTCTCTTCAAAGATAAAACACTTTTGTCTCCAATAAGGATTATTTCTAATAACAGACACATTTTTTGGATCAATACCTCGAACATTGCATGCATCATGCATTCCTGCATATTTCACATTAATTTCTCTTTTCATAAAAAATGAGAACATTTCGATCCTATGACATATAAGGAGATTTACCAACAGTTGTTTGACGCACATGTGGTGTCACCATATCCAGAGAAATCCATGAAGCCCCTGTACCCCAGGTAGTATGATGAGAACGCTCATTGCAAATATCATAGCGGTGTCCCAGGGCGCACTATCGAGAACTACTCCACATTCAGGAGAATCTCACAGAAAATACATAACAAGAATTAGATCAACTTCAATAACTCAGGGGCATCCAAGTGAGGCATATCATTTCATCATTTGAGGCATTTTTTTAGTTTGTTTTTTTCCATTTTTTCTCAAGTTTTTGTAAGAACATTTGAATAAATTTATGTTACTTTAATGATGACGAGCAATGAATCACATTTGCAAACTTGCAATTCTTTGAATATCAACTGAATTAAGAAGCTCTTTAAATGGTTGAAAGTTATGAATCCCTGACAAAGTAACATGATTTAAAACAAGGACTTTTTACCTTACCCAGAATATACACTCAAACACCGTACCCTGCTCTTGCAATTACCCAATGTAACCTTTTCCTTTCATAAGTTGCGGACAACATGGGGCATCCTTTTGCATATGACATTACTATGTTTTTTTTATTTAAGATGTTCAGTGATGATAATGATCTTTACAGATGTAATAGTCAAGTAAGAAAATCTAGTTTAGGTCAGTTGTTTGGAAATTAAACTCTAAAGATGAGATTTCTTGACTTTCAAAAAACACCTAGACTATAACAGGTTCTTCTTGACAAGCTTAAGAAATTAAATCCGTAAAGCTGAGCTATTCCACTAAGGCAATTGGTTATAGAGGAAACTTGAAAGCCATGGCTTTATGAATAGATTGCATTCAAACCATGACATTGCTCGGACACTTGGCAACTCGGTGTTTTCTCTACTACTATTGTCAGGATGAAGACTTTGTAATGAGATGAACCCTTCAGTTAACCTGATAAAAATGATTATAATATTAAGCTTTCCCTCTAAAGCAATTGGTTAAATGCCCTGGCTTTATGGATTTGGCTAGCCAGATAATGGCAAATTAAATCAAATTTATCTAAACAATAAATTTTTGGTAATAATGGACTAAGGGAGTTAAGGAACACCTGTTATAGTCAAATACACACGAGCACTCAAGAATTTCATTTTTAGACCGATATTTCTGTACTACCTTTGTTAGAAAAGCTTACAAAACTTGAACAAATGGAAGATTTCAAAGGACTGGAATAAAAGGTCTAGTAATTGATCATGCTAGTTGCGTCATTTTGTCCGCACCGAATTAAAATGCCAAACCAAAAAACATGTTGCGATATTTCAAAAAATGACATTTTGGTGACCGAAACCTTAGAAAGAAGGCCAACTTAAAGCCAACTCATCCATTTGAACATTTGGCAAAGAGCTGCAACTCTTGATTCCTTTAATATTCTTTGAACTCGCGTTTATAATTTGATTCAATTGCGAACAATATTTTACAGAATTTTTATCTTTTTCCTTCCAAAAGCGAGAAAAAAGGAGGAAAACATTTTCAAACAGGACAGTTTCAAATATGAAAGGTCGGTAAAGCCAAAGCTCGAGAAGCAAATGGGGCACGATCGATTCCATGGATCAGATTGGCAGACAAAACACAGGACTCCAATCCAAGAGATAAAACATAATTCATTCATGTTGCATGCATCTTATGCATACTTAGGAGCATCACATTTATCATTTTTAGCACACATAATTTTTTTATAGCTTTTAGAGTCAATTTCAACTTCACAGCGAAAGAGATTGGACTCGAAACGACACAATTTACTCGATAGTAGATTTCAACTTCACGACGGAGGATATCAGACTCGAAGCCAAACTTCACAATAAAGGGGTCATCCACGGTTTCAATTTCACGACGAAGGGAATCGTGTCCACCCGCAACATACAATACTTGGATTTCAACTTCACAGCGAAGGATATTCAAGTCAATGCTCAACTTCACGACGAATGGGCCATCCGCGATTTTAACTCCACGACGGAGGATATCTTACCCACACATCCACTATTTCAACTCCACGACGGAGGATATCGTGTCATTCGGGGCTCAACTTCACAACGAAGGGGCTTCCCAATTTCAGAGCCAATTTCAACTTCACAATGAATGATATTGGACTCATGACAGCACAAGCTTAACTTCACAGCGAAAGGGCAGCTGATTGTCAACAAACAATTTCCCAATTTCAGAGCCAATTTCAACTTCACAACGAAGGATATTAGACTCAAGACAGCACAAGCTCAACTTCATAGCGAAGGGGCGGCTTACTGTCAACAAATAATTTCCCAATTTCAGAGCCAATTTCAACTTCACAACGAAGGATATAGGACTCAAGATAGCACAAGCTCAACTTCACAGCGAAGGGGCGGCTGACTGTCAACAAACAATGTCTCAATTTCAGAGCCAATTTCAACTTCACAGCGAAGGATATTGGACTTAAGACATCACAAGCTCAACTTCACAGCGAAGGGGCGGCTGACTGTCAACAAACAATTTTCCCAGTTCTAGAGACAATTTCAACTTCACGGCGGAGGATATTAGACTCGGAGCAATACAACTTACTTGGATTTCAACTTCACGATGAAGGATATCCAATTACCAGGCTTAACTTCACGACGGAGGGGCCATCCACGGTTTCAACTTCACGACGAAGGGAATCGTGCACACAAGCATCATCCATCTCCATATTTGGATTTCAACTTCACGACGAAGGATATCCAACTCAAAGAATGAGTGTCTGTCAATAAATTTTCCAGTTTCAGATCCAATTTCAACTTCACGGTAAAGGATATTGGACTCGAAACAACACAACTTTCATTGGATTTCAACTTCACGACGAAGGATATCGAATTCAAGGCTCAACTTCACAATGAAGGGGCCATCCACGGTTTCAACTTCACGACGAAGGGAATCGTACCAACCAACATCACTCATCTTCAGGAACAAGCAGATTATCGATCTCCTTTTAGATCGTTTCTATCGAAACAATGGGGCGTCTCGCTTGAGACTAATGTACTCAAAACAAAATTATATTTCTCTTGAGACAGTTTCCCTTAAAACAAAATCTTTGAACAAATTTCGTCTCCCTTGAGACAATTTCTTTTAGAACTATGTTTTGTCTCTCTTGAGATAGTTTCTCTTGAAAAAAACCTTTGAAAATGTTTCCCTTGAAACGCTAAAAACCCTTGAGTTCGATTACACTTAGCTTCGAGGGCACATCATTTGCAACATAGCTCAAGGCAAGAAGGGCTATTTTCCAAACAAAGACCTTCGAGTTCGACTACGCTCAGCTCCAAGGCACATCATTTGCAACATAGCCTAAGTCGAGAAGGGCTATCTGCCAACCAAAGACCTGACGAGTTCGATTTCATTAAGCTCGATAACAGCGATGAACTACTTTCTGGAAGAATTTTCAAGCCGAAATCTTTAAATCGAGAAGAAGACAAAGGCCCAATTCCAGGAACAATATTTTACAAAATTTTTATATTTTTCCTTCCAAAAGCGAGAAAAAGGAGGAAAACATTTTCAAACAGGACAGTTTCAAATATGAAAGGTCGGTAAAGCCAAAGCTCGAGAAGCAAATGGGGCACATCGATTCCATGGATCAGATTGGCAGACAAAACACAGGACTCCAATCCAAGAGATAAAACATAATTCATTCATGTTGCATGCATCTTATGCATACTTAGGAGCATCACATTTATCATTTTTAGCACACATAATTTTTTTATAGCTTTTAGAGTCAATTTCAACTTCACAGCGAAAGAGATTGGTCTCGAAACGACACAATTTACTCGGTAGTAGATTTCAACTTCACGACGGAGGATATCAGACTCGAAGCCAAACTTCACAATAAAGGGGTCATCCACGGTTTCAATTTCACGACGAAGGGAATCGTGTCCACCCGCAACATACAATACTTGGATTTCAACTTCACAGCGAAGGATATTCAAGTCAATGCTCAACTTCACGACGAATGGGCCATCCGTGATTTCAACTCCACGACGGAGGATATCATACCCACACATCCACGATTTCAACTCCACGGCGGAGGATATCGTGTCATTCGGGGCTCAACTTCACAACGAAGGGGCTTCCCAATTTCAGAGCCAATTTCAACTTCACAACGAATGATATTGGACTCATGACAGCACAAGCTTAACTTCACAGCGAAAGGGCGGCTGATTGTCAACAAACAATTTCCCAATTTCAGAGCCAATTTCAACATCACAACGAAGGATATTAGACTCAAGACAGCACAAGCTCAATTTCATAGCGAAGGGGTGGCTTACTGTCAACAAATAATTTCCCAATTTCAGAGCCAATTTCAACTTAACAACGAAGGATATTGGACTCAAGACAGCACAAGCTCAACTTCACAGCGAAGGGGCGGCTGACTGTCAACAAACAATGTCTCAATTTCAGAGCCAATTTCAACTTCACAGCGAAGGATATTGGACTTAAGAAATCACAAGCTCAACTTCACAGCGAAGGGGCGGCTGACTGTCAACAAACAATTTTCCCAGTTCTAGAGACAATTTCAACTTCACGGCGGAGGATATTAGACTCGGAGCAATACAACTTACTTGGATTTCAACTTCACGATGAAGGATATCCAATTACCAGGCTTAACTTCACGACGGAGGGGCCATCCACGGTTTCAACTTCACGACGAAGGGAATCGTGCACACAAGCATCATCCATCTCCATATTTGGATTTCAACTTCACGACGAAGGATATCCAACTCAAAGAATGAGTGTCTGTCAATAAATTTTCCAGTTTCAGATCCAATTTCAACTTCACGGTAAAGGATATTGGACTCGAAACAACACAACTTTCATTGGATTTCAACTTCACGACGAAGGATATCGAATTCAAGGCTCAACTTCACAATGAAGGGGCCATCCACGGTTTCAACTTCACGACGAAGGGAATTGTACCAACCAACATCACTCATCTTCAGGAACAAGCAGATTATCGATCTCCTTTTAGATCGTTTCTATCGAAACAATGGGGCGTCTCGCTTGAGACTAATGTACTCAAAACAAAATTATATTTCTCTTGAGACAGTTTCCCTTAAAACAAAATCTTTGAACAAATTTCGTCTCCCTTGAGACAATTTCTTTTAGAACTAAGTTTTGTCTCTCTTGAGATAGTTTCTCTTGAAAAAAAACCTTTGAAAATATTTCCCTTGAAACGCTAAAAACCCTTGAGTTCGATTACACTTAGCTTCGAGGGCACATCATTTGCAACATAGCTCAAGGCAAGAAGGGCTATTTTCCAAACAAAGACCTTCGAGTTCGACTACGCTCAGCTCCAAGGCACATCATTTGCAGCATAGCCTAAGTCGAGAAGGGCTATCTGCCAACCAAAGACCTGACGAGTTCGATTTCATTAAGCTCGATAACAGCGATGAACTACTTTCTGGAAGAATTTTCAAGCCGAAATCTTTAAATCGAGAAGAAGACAAAGGCCCAATTCCAGGAACAATATTTTACAGAATTTTTATCTTTTTCCTTCCAAAAGCGAGAAAAAGGAGGAAAACATTTTCAAACAGGACAGTTTCAAATATGAAAGGTCGGTAAAGCCAAAGCTCGAGAAGCAAATGGGGCACGATCGATTCCATGGATCAGATTGGCAGACAAAACACAGGACTCCAATCCAAGAGATAAAACATAATTCATTCATGTTGCATGCATCTTATGCATACTTAGGAGCATCACATTTATCATTTTTAGCACACATAATTTTTTTATAGCTTTTAGAGTCAATTTCAACTTCGCAGCGAAAGAGATTGGACTCGAAACGACACAATTTACTCGATAGTAGATTTCAACTTCACGACGGAGGATATCAGACTCGAAGCCAAACTTCACAATAAAGGGGTCATCCACGGTTTTAATTTCACGATGAAGGGAATCGTGTCCACCCGCAACATACAATACGTGGATTTCAACTTCACAGCGAAGGATATTCAAGTCAATGCTCAACTTCACGACGAATGGGCCATCCACGATTTCAACTCCACGACGGAGGATATCATACCCACACATCCACGATTTCAACTCCACGGCGGAGGATATCGTGTCATTCGGGGCTCAACTTCACAACGAAGGGGCTTCCCAATTTCAGAGCCAATTTCAACTTCACAACGAATGATATTGGACTCATGACAGCACAAGCTTAACTTCACAGCGAAAGGGCAACTGATTGTCAACAAACAATTTCCCAATTTCAGAGCCAATTTCAACTTCACAACGAAGGATATTAGGCTCAAGACAGCACAAGCTCAACTTCATAGCGAAGGGGTGGCTTACTGTCAACAAATAATTTCCCAATTTCAGAGCCAATTTCAACTTCACAACGAAGGATATTGGACTCAAGACAGCACAAGCTCAACTTCACAGCGAAGGGGCGGCTGACTGTCAACAAACAATGTCTCAATTTCAGAGCCAATTTCAACTTCACAGCGAAGGATATTGGACTTAAGACATCACAAGCTCAACTTCACAGCGAAGGGGCGGCTGACTGTCAACAAACAATTTTCCCAGTTCTAGAGACAATTTCAACTTCACGGCGGAGGATATTAGACTCGGAGCAATACAACTTACTTGGATTTCAACTTCACGATGAAGGATATCCAATTACCAGGCTTAACTTCACGACGGAGGGGCCATCCACGGTTTCAACTTCACGACGAAGGGAATCGTGCACACAAGCATCATCCATCTCCATATTTGGATTTCAACTTCACGACGAAGGATATCCAACTCAAAGAATGAGTGTCTGTCAATAAATTTTCCAGTTTCAGATCCAATTTCAACTTCACGGTAAAGGATATTG